AAAATTCTCAAATCGGTTATGGTGATGGCTGCATAACTGTGAATGTACTAAAAACTAAGACTTATATTCATTAAATGGATAAATTTTATGGTATGTGAATTAAATCTCAATGAAGCTGATAAAAGTGAGAAGAAAAGGATTGGGTGGTTTCTTAGAGTGGTCAGGAAAGGCTTCTCCGAAGAGGCTACATTCAAGCTGACCAACAGGGAGCTGACTGACACGGAGCCAGCCATGGGAAGATGGAGCAGGGGTGCCATCACCCTGCAGGAATCACTGGCTCAAACCCCTGAGGTGGGGATGAGCTTGAGGAGGGGTCCGGGGACAGGAAGGCAAGTGTGGCTGGGAGATCTGGAAATGAGAGTGAGGAGGTGGGCGCCAGAATAAGGAATCCAGATTTCATTTGTAATGCCAAGGAAACTCTGGGAAGATTTTCTGTTTTTTAAAGGGAAATCTGGTTGCTCCATGGGTGATGCACTTATGGAAACCCAAGAGTGGAAGCAGGGAGCCTAGCTAGGAGGCTGCCACAGTTGTCGAGGCAAGAGCTGGTAGTGGTTTGCACTTGCAGTGTGGCAAAGATAACATCAGACATTTATTGAGCACTTGTACATCAAGCACTATTTAAGCACTTCACATCTATTAACTGGGATAAACCCTGACTCTGTCTGCTGCTTACTAAAAAGTTAGAGAACTTCAAAGTCTTAATTTATAAAATACAGGTAATACTAAAAGAGCCACCTTACAAATTAAGGAGTATAATTAGATGGTGCAAAGTTGGTACATGGTAAAGTATATTAGGCTAAACAAGGCATAGCTGCTATTGTTTTTGCACAGACTTAACATTTCTCCTAAACTTTTGTTTTTTTTTTTTTTGTTTTTTTTTGTTTTGTTTTGTTTTTGTTGGTATCGGGGATTGAACTCGGGTCCTTGTGCTTGCAAGGCAGGCCACTGAACCACTGAGCTAAATCCCTGGGCCTCTCCCAAACTTTTATTCTCACTCCCTTAACCAAAATAAAACATGGAGAAACAAAGTTCCCTCTCCTGCTGCCACCAGCTCTAATATGCTATTAGCCTGCTTCCTATGAGGTGGTTGCCAGGGGCCTTATTACCCATGAGCATGCTGACACCAGTTTCTCCACAGGCTCACGTGTTTGACTTGGCCATCAACAAGTATGAGGCCATCTGCAAGCAGCCCGTGGTAGCCAAAAAGAAAAATAAGATCACCCATGTGCAGTTCAACCCCATTTATCCCATCATCATTGTGGGTGATGAACGTGGGCACGTCACCTGCCTCAAGCTCTCACCCAACTTGCGCAAGATGCCAAAGGTATGGGTTCTAGGAGTTGGGGCTGGTGCGGAGATAAGGGGATGGCGGGGATAAGCTAAAGGGGACAGGACAGGGGTGAAGCCAGGCATCTAGCTTGGAGGACCCAGGGTGAAGATGGTGTTGCTGCACGAATGAGGACCATAGGAGAAACTGCTTGGTAAAGAAAAAAAATAGGTCAGTTTTTACATGCTGCGTCTTAGTTACCTGTGGGGCCCTGGGAAGAGGTAACCAGTGAGCATGTGGGTCTGAAGCCACCAATGGCTCACAGGATGCCGTGGGTGTGACAGGCCAGCCTGGCAGGGGACTTGAGACTTAGCCAATGCTTCATCACTGGGCTACCTCAGAGCTTTAATCCACATGGTCTCTGAACTAGAAACTGTACTCTGGGAAGGAGGAAATGAGCTGTGAGGAGGACCAGGTCAGCAGCTACATCGTCCTCCTTCTTTTGAGCTCTGATTCCTGCTTCTGGGTCCTCTACTCATCAAGGAACCCTGCCCAGAGCCCAAGGACCCCAAATATAGGCTACAGAGCTCAGAGTCATGATCTCAGTCTTTACTGAGTCCAAATTCAGACTTAAGAACCCAGATTTCAAAGCCCAGGTCATAGGATCCGGAGTCCCCAGGACCCAACTTAAAAAGTCAAAGCCTACGAATCTGGAGACCAGTCCTACCCATTTGTGTATGAAAAATGGTTCTTTGCTTTCTGACAGGTTCTGGACCAGGATCAGGGTTAGGCTAGGTTGTCCTGATAACTGTACTTCCTGGTTGCAATTTATGGTGTTAGTGCAATTTGAGGCAGGAACAGAAGCCTGTCTCTCTCTCTCTTTTTTTTTTTGATGCTGGGTGTCAGAGACGGGGCCTTACACTTGTGAGGAAGGTGAGGCAGGTGGTGGAACCACTGAGCTAAATCCCCGGCGCAAGCCTGTCTCTTTTAGCTACTGATTTCTCCCTACTATTCCCTCACCTAGGCAAGAACCATTTGTAGCATCCCTTCCAGTGCTGCCTTGGTCTATCCCTCTCCATGGCTTGGGGGAAAGGGCTGCGAGTATGGCAGGGCCTGTAATTGTAGCCAGCTGGGGGAGGGGGGTGGACTTGGCTATAAATATTCTAAAGGCTGCTAAGCGCCTGCAGCTGTGGCCCAGAGGCTGTGGTGGGCTTGGGGGGGGGCATCAGGCGTGGTCTGAATCCCTTTGTTGAGCCCAGCTAGTTGGCCTCAGGAAGGGGAATGAGGCAGCTGAGTTTGTGGAACAGATAAAATCTGTTCTTAATGAGAAGAGAGAGGGGCAGGTTTATGCTGGCAGAGCTGGACAGCCCTCTGGGAGGATGATGGGTCACTCTTGGGGGAAAGAACACAGCCATGACACCACGAGAATGGTAGATACAGGTGGGAGACCTATTCACTCTGATTTGGGGAGGCAAGAATTTCCCAATTCCAACTCCTCAAAGCACAAGGATTAGCCATGACTGGGAATGCTAGGCTGTGTATCTGAGGACTTAAATCTCTGAGGACCTGAGCAGGGGACAGCTAGGAGCTGGGACTTGGGTGATCTAGAGGTTACTGTGATATTTACATCTGACCCTATCAGCAGCCAAGTGATTTATACAAAACGAAGTCCGCTGGGCATCCCTATCACAAAGACCTGGGAATCCCTGATCAGGGAGCTTTCTGGATTGCTGTCAGGCATTAAGGACTATCTTTCTCTAATTACTGTACAGATGGGAAACTGAAACTCAGAAAGGTAAGGGACAGCCAGGTGTGATGGCACATGCCCATAATCCCAGCACTTGGGAGCTGAGGCAGAAGGACTGCCATGAGTTCAGGGCCACCGTGGACTACAAAGTTACTACAAGGCTAGTTACTACATAGCGAGACCCTATCTCAAAAAAAAAAAAAAAAAAAAAAAAAAAAAAAAAGAAAGAGGCAAAGGACTTGCCTAAAATCATGTAGGGAGTTAATGACGGCTGGAACTAAAACCCAGGTCCAAGCCAGGCATGATAGTATAAGCCTATAATCCCAGCACTCTGGGAGGCTGAAGCAGAAGAATCCCAAGTTTGAGCCCAGCCTGGGCAACTCAATGACTTAGCAAGAACCCATCTCAAAAAATAAAAGGGCAGGGGGTACAGCTCAGGGTGAAGCCCTTGAGTTCAGTTCCCAGTGTGAAAAAGAGACCTTCGCCCAATAAAAGGGGCCCCTAAATCCCAGGGATGTGGGTGAGACTGACACATCCCTAGCTGAATTCATGAGGGAGAGTGGGAAGAGAGAAAATGATCTCTATCTTTTGCCTCAAGAGTGTAGAAGTTGAGCTGGGTAATGACTGAGGCCCTGGGCTGTGAGGGGCTTGGGGAGAGATTTGGGAATAGGTGCCAGAGGAAATTTGAGTTGTACAAGGTGTCAGCACCCAAGATGGAGTCATGAAGGGGACTCCTGTACCTGAACTCTGCCTTTACTTACATCGCAGGCCAAACCTAGGCAGGCAGGCAAGTCTAGGGTAGGTGCCAGTGAGCAGTGGGCCCAGGTGGCTGAGTGGGTGGAGGTCTAGGAGCCAAGGGAAGGCAGGAAATGGCAGCTCCCCACCTACCCTAGCAAAGCCCACCATAGGCAGTAAGGCTAATGCAACTAGTGTGGTCTGCCAAGGAGTTCTCTAGGGTTGTGACATCAGTGTCTCAGCTCCTTTTTCTCAGGGCCCAACTTAGCAGTAGCATTAGAATGTTTGGTTAGGTTGAGAGTCATTAACTCAGCATCTTCTCTTCTGAGGGACAGTCCCAGGCAATGACATCTAGAGTCATATGAAATATTCCATCTTGTTTCAGGAGTCTCCTGGGTATTTCTGACATAGCTGGTCTGGATGCCATATCCCACCTCTAACCTGACCTAAAAGCATTCAGTAAGAGAACCAGATGAGGGCCCCCGTGGCCTTCTCCACACCTCTCCAACTCTTTGAAATATACTCTCTCCTTGATAGGACTCTGCCCTTCCCTGAGAGGGTAGTCCCAACAGTCAGGCCCTGCTCCTCCCTAGAGCTTTCTGTACAGATCTCCCTAGCTTGAAAGGCTCGTTCCTCTGAGGGTCAGAGAATCGGTGCCTTTCCCACTACTGCCACCAGCAAGACACTGTCCAACTGAGGTTAAGAACCAGAGCTGGTTACCTTCTTTAGGCTCTCGGCTGGCCCCTGGGTTGCCTGACCTGAGTTGGAAAAGGATCACATGGTAGTGGCACCAGGGACACAAAATTTACTGGGCAAGGGAGAAGGGCATTGTCAGAAGACTGGGCAGAGCAGTCAGTGCTGGCATCCAGAGAGGTAACCCATCCTCACCCCTCTTCCTTCGTGTATATTTTCCCTCTCCTCAGGAAAAGAAAGGGCAGGAAGTACAGAAGGGTCCAACAGTGGAGATCGCAAAACTGGACAAACTGCTGAATCTGGTAAGGGAAGTAAAAACCAAAACCTGAGGACCTGACCTCAGCCCTTGCTCCATTTGAACCCAGGACTTTCAGGCCCTGGGCTAGGAACCATGATGCCCAAACATTCAGCATGTGAACCAAGGCCCTGATTAGGTCCCAGCATTTGCTGTTCACATCTACCAGGGTTAGGGTTATGGTGATCATTACTGTTACTTTATACAAATAAACCTATGTCTGGAAGCTCATTCTACACCTTTAATTTGCTACCACAGGGTCTTCAGTAAGAGAAGAAAATCTCAGGGTAGAGCCACAGTTCCATTTATTATCCAGCAAACAGTGAGAGGACCAGGGGAAGGGCCCAGCCTAGACACCCTCCCATTATTGCCATGGGTTCCAGTTTGCTTCTCTGACCTAGAGGACCCAGAGGCGCTGAGCCTAGGGAAAGGGTAAACCTAGCCCTTGGCCCTTGGGATGGAGCAGAGTCCAGATGGCCCTGGCCCTAGCACCAACTCTTGAACTCCCACCCCAGGCCTATCTCTCCAGAACCACCCAAGCCTCTTTTGGGAGCCAGGCTCACTAGAGTCTGGGTTGCTGGGTCCAGATCCAAGCAGGCTAGACTCTGAGTTCTGGACCCGAGGCTGACTCAACTGAGATCCTGATTCCAGGCTCTGAGTGGGGTAGACTTAGGTCCCAGGCTCCAGGGTAGACCAGGCGCCTTTCAGGGCTGCAGCAGGTAGCTGCCTTCATGGCTAGGCTTCTGGGGTGGTGGTCCCTTCTCAGGACAAGGGCCAGGGCTGGAGTTGGGACTGGATTCGGAGAGAGAATCGTCGGCAGAGCGAGAGTGGCAGGCCCAGCAGAGAATGACCCAAAGCAGCAGCAGCAAGAAGCCTACAAGGCCGTTGCAGACGATGGCGATGAGGGCCCCTTGGGAGATGGCTGCCCCCATGACGGGCAGCACCCTCAGACCAGCGCAGAGAGCGGAGCTGCCTCAATGACAAGGCCCATGCCTAGTCGGAATTCCGGTATGGTCAGCTTTCCAAGGAGGCTGTCCTGTCTGCACACTGAATGATTCCCAGGCAGTGTAGATGCCCACCGGCAGTCTTGAGCCTGGGGAGTACAGAGCAAAGGAAGGGTGGTGAGGATGAAGGAAGGGGGAGGCCTAGGGGTGAGCTCCTGTCACATTTGTGGTCACCCTGACAGTGGACCTCAGGTCCTAGCAGGCTCAAATACCCAACAGAGCCAACACCCCCATTCTCAGGCCTAGCTCTAGGCACCTGGATTCAGGTGCAGCCAGAGTGGGTATGCTAAAGTAGGCAGGCCAGCCCCTTAACTCATCCTCCTTAGAACTGGTGGGCACAGCCTGGCTCTGCCCAATAAGCTTCCGCCCTCAAAAGCACCCCATTGGTGGGTGGGACTGAGGGAGCTCAAGGCCCAGTAGGAAGGGGATTTTGATCAGCTTTGGTGATCAAAGCTTTGGCTTTGGTGTGGCCAGAGCATCACCTCTCTCTCCGGGCTTCAGCCAGCCAGCTCAGGACACCTGCAGACATGCCAGCTCACACAGAGGGAACTTTGTGGAGGCCCTGGCAGGCATGTGTGGGTTCTGTGTATTCAAGGCTGTGTACCTAGGTGTGCCTCTCTGTGGAACTGTCTCTAGGTCAGGTGTATGTCTGGCTGTCTGACTCCGTCTCTCTTCCCTTGCTGGATGTGTGCCTCTGCCTCCGCATACCCACCTCTGTGACTGTGTGGCTGTCTGTCTCTGGGTATCTCTTTGCTTTTGTCCCTCTGTGCGTGTTCCCATTGCTAAGTGTCTGAGCGTGTCTCATGTGTGTCTCGTTCTTTCCCAGTCTGTCTCTGCGTATCTCCCTTCCCGGCTGAGTGTCCCTCTGTCCTCGTGGACGTGTCTCTCTCCCCTTCTCCGTAGGGGCTGTCCGGGTGGCTCTGTGCGTCTCCCGCGTCTCTCCCTTTGTGTCTGTCTCTCCTCCGGCGCGAGTCTCTGTCTCCGAGTGGGTCCGTGTCTCTCCGTCTCCGTCTCGGGTCTCTGGGTCTTGGCCCCCGTGCCCGTGAGGGGAGGCCCCCCTTACCTGAGTTCGGCACGGTGCGCGCCCGAGGGAGGGTCCGGGGCAGCAGAAAGCTCGGCGCCGACTGAGGCTCGGGAGCCTGAGGGCGGGGGGCG